AGATCAGCTACGAGTAGCGCAAAACGTAAGTTATACGCTACTCGAAGTCATTCGAAAAATTCGTTAGAATACGTCAGACTTGTTACACAGTGGATTCTCACTTTGCTGCCAGATCTAATGAGGACCTAAGCCGTCCCTTACCATTAGAGGATATACATAAGGCCAGCTTCTACCTGAATATCCCCCTTTTTTGAGCTTTCAAATGCTTAGAACCCACGAGTGGCAGAAACTTCATCCAGCACACTATAAATTCAAACTTGTATATCCTCAAACTGGAATAATTGGTAGAAGAAAAACAATGTAGTAAAAATATGTAGTCGAAGTGTTCTGATGGCAACGAGGGTGTACCATTAATAATGAATAGGGAGAGAGCAAATACATGTACAAAACCTTAAAAAATGAGAAGAGACTAGGCACTGATCTGTGGCGTCAGTGAAGATCCTACTGTTTACCTTTCAAAGCATCTTTGGTATCTTTATTCAAGAGATTTGGTGCGAGGAAAAACCCATTCACAGTTCACCGGAGTGGTTTCATCGGCAAATATTGTGAGCAGAACTGAATCATGACCTATTTTTACTAGCGAGCGAGGAAGTGTTCAAGGTCCACCTAAACCAAAGAGCCAAAACAGACCATTTCCTGTTCTTAGAAGTGGAGAATGGACCTTTAAGAACCTGTACTCTGCAACCCAACGCTGCAAACCGGTTACTACCTTGCCAACGCGTGAATCAACTTTGAAAAAACTTAATAAAGGACGCCTTCAAAAGAAGCCAGTTTTAAACCATTCAACAGTTTTTGACCCATTGAGGACCGCGTGTTTTGCCATATGTGAGGTTAAATTTGTTCATTTGGTGGGAGTGAAAATAGTTTTGCTTGATTTTTCTAGGCAATCTCTTGTGCTCCAGATTTGAGAAAATAGGTTTTCAGAATTATACACATATCTTTTTTTAATTAACAAAATTGCTGAATAGTATCAAGATCACTGACGAAAGGAAACCTCTTGGGAGTGATTTCTCACTGTCAGAACAATATCTGGTCTTGCTCAGTTGCGCATTGACAAATCAACTCCAAGCCATAAGCTTCCTTCAGACGATCAGAAGCAAGACATCTTTTGTGTGAGTGCGCACAGGCCATTTTCGAGTTTTCGATGTCCCTA